TGGGACCGCCCGCATGCGTCAGCCACCACCCAGTACAGCGTTTCGCGACCCCGTAGGGAGCTCCACAGAAAGACCCCAGTGGCACCGCCCTCATGCGTCGTCCACCACCCAGTATTGCATTTCGCGGCCGCATTGGTTGGGAGCTCCACCAAGCCCCAGTGGCTCATCCCGCATGCGTCCCCCCCACCCAGTACAGCGTCTCGTGCCCCCCAGTACAGCGTTTCGTGCCCACCACCCAGTGTAGCTTTTCGTGGGCTTATAGGATGCTTCACTGACGGCCTTAGTGGTACCGCCCGCTTGCGTCAGTCACCTCCCATGACAGCGTTTCGTGGGCCCCATTTGAGGCTTCACCGAAACCCCAGGGGCACATGCGCCAGCCACAACCCAGTACAGCGCTTCGTAGCCTCATAGGCAGCTCCACCGACGGCCCCAGTGGCACCGCCCGCATGCGCCAGCCACCACCCAGTATAGTGTTCCGTGGTCCCATAGGGCGCTCCACCGAAGGTCCCAGTGACACCGCCCGCATGCCCCCCCACACACACACACACACACACACACACACACACACACACACACACACACACACACACACACACACACACACACACACACACACACACACACACACACACACACACACACACACACACACACACACACACACACACACACACACACACACACACACACACACACACACACACACACACACACACACACACACACACACACACACACACACACACACACACACACACACACACACACAGTACAGCGCTCCGTGGGCCCATAGGGAGCTCCACCGAAGGCCCCAGTGGCACCACCCGCATGCGTCCCCCCGTCCAAGTGCAGCGCTTCGTGGCCCCACAGGGAGCTCCACCGACGGCCTCACTTGCACCGCCCGCATGCGTCGGCCAGCACCAGTAAAGCGTTTCGTGCACGCATGCATCTCCCCCGACCAGTACAGTGTTGCGTGGCTTCATCGGGAGGGGAGCTCCAGCGAGGGACACCGCCCGCATGCGTCCGCCACACCCATCACAGCGTTTCGTGGCCCATAGGGAGCCCCACCGAAGGCTCCAGTGGCACCGCCCACAGGCGTTTCCCCCACGCATTACGGCACGTCCTTCACGCGTTTCGTGGCCCCATAGGAAGCCCCACCGAAAGCGGCACTCACAACGCGTCATTCAAACTTGCATATGGTTGGGCTTTTCGCCAGGATAACTCCCAACCGTCCTGTGGTGCTGGGTCCTCGTTTTGAAGAGACGGTCCCCGCGATCTCTCCTTCCCTCTTTCTTTCCTCCTCCCTCCTCCTCCTTCCCCTCCTCCTTCCTCCCTGCGTTTCATCCACTCAGTACGGCGTTTCGTGGCCCCATAGGCAGCTCCACCGACGGCCCCAGTGGCACCGCCCGATTGCGCCAGTCACCAACCAGCACTGCGCTTCGTGGCCCCGCAGGGAGCTCCACCGACGGCCCCAGTGGCACCGCCCGCATGCGTCAGCCACCACCCAGTACAGCGATTCGTGGGCCCATAGGGAGCTCCACCGAAGGCCCCAGTGGCACCGCCCGCATGCGTCAGCCACCCTCGGTACAGCTTCCTCTGGCCCCACAGGGCTCTCCACCGACGGCCCCAGTGGCACCGCCCGCATGCGTCGGCCACCACCCAGTACAGCGCTTCGTGGCCCCATAGGGAGCCCCACCGAAGGTCCCAGTGGCACCGCCCGCATGCATCAGCCACCACCCCGTACAGCGCTCCGTTCCTCCCGAAGCGTTGCCTCTCAGGAGCGCGCCCTGCTGGCGCAGGCCGAGCGCACGCTGGCGGCGCTGGAGCGGCGGTCAGCCGAGGCGCAGCTGGCGCGGCTGGAGGCCCTGCGGCGGCTGCCGGACCTGCTGGAGGCCGAGGGGTAAGGAAGCCCCGGCCTCCAGCGCGCGGCACAACTCAGCAGTCGGAGGCCCCTGGCGGCCGATGTCGCCTGTTGAGACCTCCTGGGAGGCCCTCGTCGTCACGGCTGGATATTCGCTTCGGAATCCTGGCCAGTCAGAACGCACCCCAGGGGAGGTCTGGGGAGTTGCGGCATCGCTATTTCATAGCCTTCGGTCCATCCCGCCGCCATGCCTGGGGTGTGGGTCGTAGGCCTCAAAGATGTTCGCAGTCCTGGGGGTCTCTTGATCAGAGACAGTATCCCGCTCGGCGCGCCCGATTGTGGGTCCAGGCCTTTCATAGCATTTTAACGATTGAGGACTGAGCGCAAGGAGTCAGGCAAAGGACCTGCGGACGCTCGAGATCGTACCACAGGGGCGCACTGCGGATCTTGTGGTTCCCCGAGAGCCCCAACGTATTGAACACATGCAGACGAGGTTTTCGCCACTCCTGGACTCGAGGGGCCCTCGCCCAGCCCGGCGACCGTCGAAGCACCACCCGGGATGTGCAGCCTGCCCCGGGGGAAGGGGTCCAGCCTTTGGGGGACACCGTGTGGAAAAATAATGTTTCTTTCTTCTTAAATAAAGCACCAGCACCCGCTGCCGATCCCTCGTCACCACGGCCAGATTCGCGTCGAAGTCCTGGTCAGAATCCTCCCCGGAAGTGGTCCGTGGAGAAACGGCATGGGCACTCGAGCGACGCACGACAACGGGTTCGTCTTCGCCGACATTGGCGCATGAGCGGCCCGCGCCAGGTCGCGCGAGCGGCGCCCCCGTCTCCACTGTGGCGTGCCGCGCCCGCGGCCCGCGCAAGCCGCCGCGCAAGGCCGCTGCTCCATCTCGCGTAAGACCCGTTTCGTTTTCGTCGCTCATTCGTTTGCTTGCCCAAGGTTCGGGTTGACCCAAGAGGGGGTCCAGCGACAAGGGGGTGGTGCAGTAGAATTGGTGCAGCAGGTTCGTGGGGTTGCAATACATCTGGGGTGTGCAATACATTCCGGGGCGCAGATGTATTGCTAGACTTCCGCGTGCAATACACTGCAATACAACTCTCCGGCGCAGTACGCTCGCAATCCAATTGCCCCAACTCTTTTGCACCACCCCCTCTCAGCTGGACCCCCTCCTGGGTCGCCCAAGAAAGGTCGAGGAGGCGCGCGAGCTGTTCCTTCAGTTCGCCCGCGCCGAGCACGCGCGCTCGCGCGGGCGTGCGGGCGCCGAGGCCGCGGGCGGCGCTGGCGGCTGGCCGGAGGCCGTGACGCGCGAGGCCCTGGAGGCCTTCGGGGGCAACGCTGCGTGGGGCGGGGGGGGGCGCCTTCATACGGAGACACGTCGGCAGAAGCAGCAGCCATCCGATGCAGGGGCGTTGCTGCACGCCGCATGCATGCGCATGTGCATGTTTGCTATACATATATATATACATACATATAGATATACATATATATATATATATAAATATCCCTGGTGCGCAGCACTGTGTCATGGACACCTGCCGTGTTCGCATGCCGCTGTGTCCTTTTCATGCGAGTCCCGACGAGCCCCAGCGGGGGCGAAACGTTGACGCGCGAAACGTTGGCACGCGCCTGAGAGCGCCATACGAGTCAGGTGTGCTCAAGGCATGTGGTGGTACATCGACCCCCAACCGCCCACAGATCACCGACAGGGGCCCGATGTCCCGCCCCGCCCAGGATGGTGCGGACTCTTCATCGGATGCCTATCACCGATCTGCCGACGATGCATCACCGAATCCAGGTCAGTGTCCCCCCCCCACTCGTAGCTAGTCCCCCCCCTTTCGTTCCCCTCCAGGCCTGCCTCGAGAATGGTGGAGGCGACTCCGGCGACGCGGCCTGGGAGTTCGCCAGGGGCGACCTGCTCAGGCGCTTCCGCGCCCACCCCGCCGTGCGCTGCCGCATGTGCCGCATCGCCGCGGGCATGGGCTGAGCCGCCGGCCACCTGTCCGCTGCAAAATGCTCCGCGTCCCCATCGCTTCCCGTCCTCCTCCTCCTCCTCTCGTCCGAGGCCCGCGTGCGGCGGCGTCGCGCCCCCTGCCTGTTTGCCGGTTCGTCCGAGGCTGGCGCAGGGCGGGCCGCGCGCCTGTGCTCGCGGGTTGAGTTCTGGTATATTAGTGGTGTGCACTCGCCCTTTCGGGTCGTCCGTTCCGTTCCGTTCCTCTCCAGGCGTCCCAAATGGAGTGCGATTAGATAGGGTCCGAGGATCGCGCCGCATCGCCGATGCATCGGCAATGCGGCTCGATGTGGAGCCAGATGTTCTCCAAGCTGGCGTCTCCGATGCATTACCGACGTCGCCGATGCATCGGCGATGCGATCCTCTGATCCCATCCACTCTTACTCCATTGAGGAGGCCTCTATCCTTACCCTCCTTTCTTTCGCTTGCCCTTCCTCTCTGGGAACGCATTGCTTTACAACGTGTATGCTACAGTACTCCTGTGATCCTGGTACCCCGTTTCAGTTTGCCACCCAGGTTCGCCAGCGGAGAGTCACAGGGACCGCTCTGACCCAGAATAAGTGGACGACCACCCAGGTAGCAAGTACTTTTCGTATTCACCAGGCGACAACACTTTCAAAACAACCGTGCCCCCTCCATGGTCTGCGTGCGATCAAAAGCCATACCGACCACACGTGCGTGCCAATGTTTTGAACATTGCCGGCACACGTACGCAACCACAGTCAGAAACACAAGGTGGTGCAGCAACACACGCGCAGTAGTAAATTCAGGCGAGCCAGCAGGGTCCGAAACAGCCGGTGCGTCCGTCGCATCAACAATATGCAGGAAGGCAACAGCAAACCCCACGGATACTATTCCGCAACTATTGAGCCGATGGTTATTCAAAAGTTTATTTGTCTTCAGCACTGACTGGTCGGTTAGGTGGATGCGTGGGCTCCCCATAATGTTCGCATGCCGCATCTTGAGGCATGATGGCAGGGGGTGCCGACGATGATTCCCCAATCGTGCTGCCCGCAGTCCATGATGCGTTCCGGCCAGCCGAGCGGTGGGGCAGCGGTCGGCGCGAGGAGTGGGCGGGGGAGCGCGGCGGGTGGGGAGGGTATGGGATTCAGGGAGGGAGGGTGCAGAGAGGAGAAACGGAGAGGGAGGGGGAGGGGAAGGGGAGGATCAGGTGCAAGGGCAAGGGGGATGGGCTCAGGGGGATGGGGCCGCGTCGGCCCCGATCGCCAACGGACTGCCGGCAGGGGCCCAGGAGCCCCAGCCCGCCCAGGAGCGGGTGGCTGCGCCGTCGGGGGCCTGCCGCCGATCCAACGGCGAAGTGTCGCCGATTGCAGGTCGATGTTCCCCCTTCGCCCTTCCCTACCAGCAGACGGGGGGGGGGCAGGGAGGGATGGGATGGAGGACGCAGGGGCCGCGCGCCGCGCCCGCCCGCGCTTCGCCGACCCCTGCAGTTTTCTTTGCAGGAGTACTATGCCGCGCCCCGTGGCGCCCCCCCTGGCCCTGCCCGGCCTGCCGGCAGAAGGCCCGCGGCTGGGCGGGGCGGCCATGGGCGCCCCTCGGGATGCGCCCGGCGCGCTGGCAGAAGACCCGCGGCCAGGCGCCAAGGGGAGAGGTGCACGGGCCGCCCCGGCCCCCATCTGCACCGAGGACCCGAGGGGCCGCAGCAATGGCGGAGGGCGTCTCTCGCGCCGAGTTGCCCCCATCGTACGCAAGGACCACGTCCCAGAAAGGATTTCGAGCACCCAGGAAAGTGCCGAAAAGGTGTCGAGACGGTGTCGGACGAGTGTCTCCCAGGGCCCGACGCGTGAAAGCCCTCGAGTTTCGGGATTTTTTTGGTGCTCGAAATTCTTTCTGGTGGTCAAGGCTAAGAAAGAGTAGGTTGGAACATCATAACTCTCGCGCCTCTTGTTCGGCGCTGGCGAAGCGGGTACAGAAAGGCCGGGGACTAGGACCGACAGGAGCTCCTTTTCCGTTTCGGGCTGGGCTCGTTGTCGGCGTAGCTGCGGGGGCTGTCCACTCGAGACAAAAAGGTCGCCTGTCCAACAGCGGGTCGCTGTCTGGTTGGGGCAACATTTGATGTTGGGAGCGCAAATGAGACATGGGGGGTGGGGATCAAGCGCCTCCAGAATTTGCATGCAGGGGGGCGGGGGAGGCCTGAGAGCGTCCAGGCGGGTGCGGGGGAGGGGCTTGGGGGTGGAGGTGCTGGGAGCGGGTGGGTGGGCACGCCTCGTTTTTACGTTTGTCACTCCCCCCTTGATCAAAAGAAGTGCGGATCACCCATTTCGTGTATTACAGCTTGCAGGGGAGGAGCATTGCTCGATCGCTCTCGGGCACAAGCGCAGCATGGCCCCGCGAGTTAGTCAAGGGAGGGAAAACCACCCAGACCCGACAACCGGCGTTTACTAAACGGCCTTGGGCGTTTACTAAACAGCCTTGCCAAGTTTGATTCCCTCTTTGGGCCCGTTGTCTAAACGGTTTCGCGTGTCGGAGTTTTTCTTATGAGGGTGGATGTTCTGCTCTCTAGTAAGGCCTGGGAGGAGCACGCCACGACGACCTCTCTTGTGTGGAGCTGGGAAGGCCTCAGAGGGGGTTCAGGTGAAGTGGGTTGACCTTCACCTTCGGAGCTCAAGAGACGGGGGTCAGCCAGAGCGCGAGATCTTGCAGGATCCTGCAGAGCCAGGGGCGCACTGACCCGGGCTTGGGCGCAGGATCCTGCAGGATTCTGCAGGATCTCACAGGGTGCTGCAAGGCCTGACTGACCCGGGCTTGAATTGACCCAGAACTGTAAATCCCCGACCCCTGACCCCTTCGAGTCGTGCGAAACTCACAACGAACGTTGTTTTGTTTATTTTCAGCCTCTGGGAGCCCTCACCGGGCCTCGGGACCGTCCAAAAACGATGCAGGATGAGACAACGGTTCCGGGGAATGGGTCGAGACCTTCGGGGGGCCGAGGCTTCTCGAATCTGCAGTGTTTTGATTGATTTACGGACGAGGCGACTCGCCGAGGATTTCGACAGAGGCGGGGCGTATCGCGCTTCATTTCTAAATCGGGCGTGTCCAAAAGACCATGTAACAACTCAACTGCACGAGTGGTTCAACGACCATCTGAAAAGTCAGCAACTTCCAAAACAGCATGTTTGTTCCCAACCAACCTGTTCGGGGGTCCTCGTTTTGAAGAGACAGTCCCCGCGTTCCTCCACCTCCGCCTCCTCCTTCTCCCCCTAGCTCCTCGATCCTCCCATCCATACCTCAGCCCTCTGCATGTTTCTGTTTCGGTATACACCTCAAGCGTTTCGTCACCCCCACAGGAGCTCAACCGAGTGTCCCCGTGGCGCAGCCCGCATGCGTCCCCTCCGATCCATGGCGGCACACCCCTCACACGCTCCGTGGCCCCATAGGAAGCTCGACCGAAGGCCCTATTGGCGGTACCCGCATGTGTCCTCGCCACCAATTTCGGCACACCTCGCACACGTTGCGTGGCCCCGTAGGGGCCCACAGGAGCTCCACCGAAGGTACGTCCCCGCCACCCATTTCGGCACACCCATCACACGTGTCGTGGCCCCATAGGGAGCTCCACCGATGGCCCCAGTGGCGGTGCCCACATGCGTCCCCGCCACCCATTTCGGCACGCCCCTCCAACGTTTCGTGGCTCCACAGCGAGCTCTACCGAAGGCCCCATTGGTTGTGCCCACATGCGTCCCCACCACCCACTTTGCACACCCCGTGTCGGTGCCCACATGCGTCCCCGCTACCCATGTCGGCACACCTCTTACACGATTGTGGCCCCATAGGGAGCCCTTCCGAAGGCCTTAGTGGCGCAGTCCAAAAGTGTCTCCGCAACCCTACCTGTTTCGGTGCACCCCTCACACATTCCGTGACCCCGTGGCCCCAGAGGGAGCTCCACCGATGGCCCCAGTGGCCGCGTCCGCATGCGCCCTCCCCGCCCACCGCATGCCCATTCTGGCACACCCCTCACACGGCTCATGGCCCCTTAGGGAGCTTTCCCCGCCCATCGCATGCCTATGTGGGCACCCCCCTCACACGGTTCGTGACCCCATAGGGAGCTCCACCGAAGGCCCCAGTGGCCGCGTCCGCATGCGCCTTCCCCGCCCACCGCATGCCCATTTCTTCTGCACATCCCTCACAGGGTTCGTGGATCCATAGGGAGTTCCACCGAAGGCCCCAGTGGCCGCGTCCGCCTGCGCCCTCCCCGCCCACCTCGCACACGCTGCGTGGCCCCATATGAGCTACACCGAAGGTCCCCGTGGCGCAGCCCGCATCCGTTCCCGCAGCCCATCTCTGGCACACCTCTCACACGTTCCGTGGCCCCATGGGAGCTCCACCGATGGCCCCAGTGGCGGTGCCCACAAGCGTCCCCGCCATTTATGTCGGCACGCCCCTCACACGTTTCGTGGCTCCACAGCGAGCTCCACCGAAGGCACCAGTGGCGGTGCCCACATGCGTCCCCGCCACCCACTTCGCACACCCCGTGGCGGTGCTCACATGCGACCCCGCCACTTATGTCGGCGCTCCTCTTGCATGTTTCGTGGCCCAATAGGGAGCCCTTTCGAATAGTGGCGCAGTCCACAAGTGTCCCCGCAACCCCACCCACTTCGGCACACCCATCACACGCGTCGTGGCCCCATAGGGAGCTCCACCGATGGCCCCAGTGGCGTTGCCCACATGTGTCCCCGCCACCCATTCTGGCACACCCCTCACACGTTTCATGCCCCCACTGGGAGCTCCACCGAAGACGATACATTTGCGTCATTCACAACTGCATATGGTTGGGTCCTTCGCCAGCCTAATCTGTTTTTCGAAAGCCGTTTCCCCAGGGCGACATGCGTTTTTCAGCCCTACGCCGTAGGCCATCCATTATCCTCAGCCCCGGGATTGTGATGGATGGCCTATACGGTCAAGACGTGTTACTTTGCGTGTGGCGCCGCCGGCTCTGGCCCGCCACGACTCGGCGCGACGCGCTGACCACGTCCCTGCCCCCTTGGGTGAACGGTCCGGCCCTTTCCGAGCCTTCCGCCCCGGGATGCAGGATGCAGAGCAACACGCTGTCCGCTCGCTGAGCACATGGTGGAGGCCCATGCCAGGAAAGACCCTGCTTGCCTCCAGGGTGCCCTTGGTTTCTTCGGTTTCGATGGTTCTGCCGTGAAGGCGTGACGCCCCCACACCAAAAAATCGATGGACTTCTTGGGGTCTCAGGGTGGGGTCTCTTGTGGGCGGGCCTCCGCTGCAGCGTGCCGCTGCGGCCGCCGCCGCGCGCGGGGCAAGCGTGCCCGACCGCAGAACCCCCGTGCCTCGGCCGGGCGGGGGCGTGCACATCGCCTGGCGAGGCATCGCTCAAGCAGTGGCGAAGCGTCCCGGTTCCTCTTCTTATAGCCCTACCAAACGATGCTCTAAGAACCCTTTGTGGTTCCCACGAAATGTTCTTAGAACACTTCTGGCCGGGACTGTCGTGGTTTAACACATCGGGCTAATGTTCTAAGAACATTGTTTTTGTTAGTAGAACATTTTTGGGTTCTTAGATCATTTCGTATTAGGACTACAGGAATGCAGGGACGGTCGGTCCCTGCTTAGATCGCGGGGGCGTATCGTCCAGTCCTGAGCCCCTTCCGCCTTCTTGGGAACCCCCATACCTAGCGCGGGCGACGATGAGTCGAGAGTGGGCACGTTGCCAAATAGTTTCCAGATGTCTGGGGACCGTGCTTAGCCTATGTTCCCGAAGTGCTGAAACATGTTTCGCACACTCACGCTTCGAACATGTTTAAAACATGTAGAGTCTATGCAAAATATATGTGTAATTCCATGATAGAACGGTTCGACTGTCCATTGTCATGGCATCCACAATCCAAACCCGTGTCATTCCTAGACCCCCCATGTCTTGATTCTTAAATGGTTCACGCTTCGCGCATCCCCACCAGGCCACTCCCAAACCCTGCCCATGAGAGTTGACTGGCAAATTTGGACGAAGAGACACATAACAGAGCGGGCAACCAGGGTGAATAGGGAGATGTTTGGGAGCAAATGGGTGGTTTTGGAGAGCCTCTTCGGGCCATCCGTGGGGCCTGCGTGGTGGCGAGGGAAGGACGACGAGCAGAAGGATAATGATCATGATGATTATGCTGATGATGGTGATGATGAAGATGAAGAAGAGGAGGAGGAAGAGGAGGAGGAGGAGGAATTTTAGGAAGAGGCGCAGTGCAAACCCAAGACTCATCAACACGTTTCCCTTCAAACTCCCTCTTCATAGGCCCCTACACTGATCCATTTCCACTGAAGGAAGTGCCCCGTTGGGAGACAACCGTTTGAAGATCTGTGCCAAGACACCAATCTCAGAATTTCAACGCCTCGAATCAGTCTGATTGTTGCGTCATTTCGATCATGACGCGTGTCAGAACGCGGCGCGTAGGACTTCAGCAAACGCGACGTCACGTATTTGTTGCGGCTTGACAACCCCGAATCGGTCCAAAACGCCGTTGCTGGTACGCTAAACATGTGAACCCGCGACACCCTTGCAATTTGTTTGAACAAATGTGCGCGGCGCCATGGTAAACACTACAGTTTGCAAAGGAGGCGCCCTCATTCCGTGAAGTTCTCGCAAATGATCACGAGTGTGCGCGGCGCACAGGCGAGAG